TAGAAGCAGAGATAATATTCCTCAGTCAAAAGGGATGAGTTGAAGAGAAAGCCTTTTTCTTCAAGAACTTCCCTAAGACTTGGGTTCCTACCTCCACTTGCCCACTGGTCTTTAATCCATTTGAGCCATCTTCTCTGGGATGGTTCTCAATAGTGAAGGAATCTCAATCCACTGGCCACCAGCTACAAAGATACAGCAGGGAAACACTATTAGAACTCCTCACATAGCAGACATAAACCACGTGTTCCCCTCCTTCTCTTGTTATCCAAGACAGTTTTCCCTGTGATCTAAGCTACAAGGTGCTGCAGAGGTCACTCAGACTGACCTCTTTCAGTCTCCTGCTTTTGTGCCATCCTGCCCAGAGATTTTCTCTAACAACACCATAGTCTGAAAAAGAATTACAAAGTTGTGACCTTCATTTGTATTGCCTTGGGAGGCCAGATCTGAGCAGGATCATAGTGAAGAAGGTGGTGAAGAGTCAGCATGCTTTTGCAAAGGGTAACTCATGGCTGACCAGTCTGGTTGCCTTGTATGATGCATTTACTGGGTCTGTGCCTGAGCAGAGAGGAGAGTAATTTACCATTACTTTAGCAAGGCTTTCAACAGTAACTCCCACATTATCCTTGTATCCAATTTGGGATGTTGTGGTCTGGATGGGTGGCAGCCTGATATCAAGCAGAGTACTGGAGGGGGCTATTCTAGGAGTTCAACATCTTTATCAATGGCCTGGAGGAGGTGACAGAGTGTACTCAAGTCTGCAGATGACACTGAGCTGGAGAGTCCAGTGCATACGGTCAGGGGCACAGCCACTATTCAGAGGGACCTAGACAGGCTGGAGGAAGGGGCTAACAGGAATCTTATGAAATTCAACAAGAACAAATACAAAATCCTGCATCAGGCTGGAGGAAGGGGCTAACCGGAATCTTATGAAATTCAACAAGAACAAATACAAAATCCTGTATCAGGGAAGGGAGAACCCCTTGCAATGATACAGGCTGAGGACTGACTGGATGAGGAGCAGCTCTGCTGGAAAGGACCTGGGGGGTCTTAGTAGACGGGAAGCTGAGCAGGAGCCAGCAGTGTGCCCTGGCAGCAGAGAAGACTATATTGACAGAAGTATATCTAATAAATCAAGGGAAGTGATTATCCTCAGCCCTTGTTAGACCACATCTAGAATACTGTGTGCAGTTTTGGGCCTCTAACTACAAGAAAGACATACCTAAATCAGAGTGAGGTCAATGGAGGGATACCAGAATGGTCACTAGACTGGAGAACTTGCCCCAGGAACGCAGAGGGAGAAGCCGAATGAACCAGGCTTGCTCGGTTTGGAGAGGAGAAGGCTATGGGGGACCCTCACAACAGCTTCCCCAGGACCTATGAGGAAGTGACTGGTGGGAGACTGAGACAATAGACATAAGTTGAAAAAAGAGAAGTTCAGGCTGGATATAAGGAAAATCCACTGTGAGGACAGACAAGCAATTGAAGAGGTTACCCAGAGAAGCTGTGCATCCTCATCCTTGGAAGGCTGAATAAAACCTTGGGTAGCCTGGCCCCTTCCAACCTGAATTGCATGTCCCTGGATCTGAGTAAGGAATGACACACTGTGATTGCCTCTATCAGTATTTCTAATGAGATGTTGGCATCAGTTGCTCCAAGGGTCTGATTTCAAGGTTAGAACAAGGCATGAGGCCACCTGAAGGACACTGTGAAGAAGATCCCTAAGTGAAATGCATGCCAAAATTCAGCATCATTTGGACAACCAAGTGACAGCCTTGCTGCCAAGTTTTTGCAGCAGCACTGTTCTCTGAGGGTTTGCTGCTAGCATGACATCTTGAAACATGAGATTGAAAGAGAAAGAGTAGCTCATAAGCAACCTGGCTGAAGGCAAGGCCTGCCTTTGGCAGCATGAAGCAATATGGTGAGAAGTCCAGCCTATAGCTCTCAGCAGAAGCTGGTACAAAGCAGGAGACACCAGCACTGTGCTGGCCAGGCTGATGGAGGGGAGGCGGAGAAACTGTCTTTGATTCATTCAAGTCTTTGAGGAACCCAGACCTTCATTCTGGGTTCGAACTGTGACCCTGACTATCATTTACGTGATTTGTCCTTCATTCACTTACTCTAGTTGGGTCCTTTTTGTTTTCAAGCTGTAAATCAGGTATGTTTGTGCAGTTAAAGCTGTGTGACAGCTCCCTGTACCCTGAGCCCTTCAGGTCACTGGGCTGTGCCAGACGAGCAGAGTAGACAAAAGGGTTGGTCGACAAAGCACAGGATGGACAGTGTCAAAAGAGCAGCTGGGGAAAAAGAGGAGAAACTTCATAGATACCCCCCAAAACCAGTATCTTCATGACAGGAAACCTTTACCTGAAGTGCAAAAAAAAAGTCTGCAGAGGTCTGATTCTGTGACTTCTGGAAGTACACACCATTCAGCACACCCTTCAGGCTGTGACTGTCTCCCAGATTAAACTGTTGGGGGACAGAAAAGGATTCCTGAGGGAATGAGGGGATATCATATCATGGGCATTCTCATACTAGTGCTTATGCTATATGCCTTCAGGAAACTTTCCAGGATGCTCTTTGTTCTGAGGGTCAGCCCCTGCTGGCATCACTGCTGGGTCATTTTAAAAGCAGTTCTGTTTTGCTGGGTCAATGTCAAACAGGAAAGCTCCTCCAAATCCTTGAGCAGCTGGTAAGGGATGTGAAGATCTCCATTGATGTGGACCCAGAAGCACAAAACCTGTCTTTAAACATAGCTCTTGATACACACGAGTTCAACACGAGGAAGCTGAAACCCTGACGTCGGCCACTACTGTGTCCAGGAAGACCTGTATCACCCAGAGCCATGATAAAAAAGACTGTTCTAAAGTAACACAGACTGTGTCCTCTGAGAAGGAACGGGTGCTTGTCTATCCCCTTTAGAAGATACCAATGCTCTGGAATATGCCATGTCCCATGTAAGCTAGGAGACCTTCCCCCAGACTCAGAATCACAGTATCGCAGAATCGCCTAGGTTGGAAGGGACCTTTAAGATGATCTAGTCCAACCATAATTTAAAAAAAAAACACACAAAAAACCAACAAAACAAACAAACAAAAAACCCACAGAAAACCAACACTACACCATATTCCCGAGCACCATGTAAACTCGTCTTTTGAACACCTCCAGGGATGGTGCCTCAACCACTTCCCTGGCGGCCCATTCCAATGCCTGATAACCCTTCCAGTGAAGAGATTTTTCCTAATATCCAACTTCAACCCCCCCTGGTGCAACTTGAGGCCATTTCCTCTTGTCCTATCACCTGTGACTTAGGAGAAGAGACCGACCCCCACCTCTCTACAACCTCCCTTCAGGGAGTTGGAGAGAGCAAGAAGGTCTCCCCTCAGCCTCCCTTTCTCCAGGCTGAACACCCCCAGCTCCCTCAGCCTCTCCTCATAAGACCTGTTCTCCAGACCCCTCACCGGCTTCATTGCCCTTCTCTGGACCTGCTCAATGTCTTTTTTGTGGCCCAAAACTGGACACAGTACTCAAGGTGAGGCCTCACCAGTGCCCAGTACAGGGGGACGATCACCTCCTGAGTCCTACTCCCCACGCTGTTCCTGATACAGGCCAGGATGCTGTTGGCCGCCTTGGCCACCTGGGCACACTGCTGGCTCATGTTCAGCCAACAGCTGACCAACACCCTCAGGTCCTTTTCTGCCAGGCAGCTCTCTCGCCGCTCTTCCCCAAGCCTGCATGGGGTTGGTGTGACCCAAGTGCAGGACCCGGCACTTAACTTTATTGAACCTCATCCCATTGGCCTTGGCCCATCAGTCCAGCCACTCCAGATCCCTCTGCAAGGCCTTTCTATGCTCCAGCAGGTCGACACTCCCACCCAACTTGGTGTCGTCTGCAAATTTGCTGAGGGTGCACTCGATCCCCTCATCCAGATCATTGATAAAGAGAACTGGTCCCAATACCAAGCCCTGAGGGACACCACTCGTGACCAGCCGCCAACTGGATTTAACTCACCACCACTTTCTGGGCCCGGCCCTCCAGCCAGTTTTTAAACCAGCAGAGAGTACTCCCATCTAAGCCATGGGCAGCCAGTTTCTCCAGGAGGATACTGTGGGACACTGTATCGAAGGCCTTGCTAAAGTCCAGGTAAACAATATCCACAGCCTTTCCTTCATCCAGCAAGCGGGTCACATAGAAGGAGATCAGGTTTGTCGAGCAGGACCTGCCCCTCATGCTGATCCCCCTGATCATCCGAGCATCCTTCATGCGCTGCATAATGGCACTCCGGATGATCTGTTCTATGACCTTCCCAGGCACCGAGGTCAGACTGACAGGCCTGTAGTTCCTAGGATCATTCTTCCAACCCTTCTTGTGGATGGGCGTCACATTTGCTAGACACCAGTCGGTTGGGACCTCCCCAGTTTGCTAGGACTGCTGGTAAATGATGGAAAGTGGCTCCACAAGCACTTCTGCCAGCTCCCTCAGTACCCTTGGGTGGATCCCATCTGGGCCCAAAGACTTGTTTGTGTCTAGGTTTTGGAGCAAGTCCCTCACCACCTCCCTTTGGATTATGGGGACTTCATTCTGCTCCCCGCCCCTAACTGCTAGTCTGGGTACTCGGGGGACACCCTACTCCACTACTAAAGGGGCAAAGAAGGCATTCAGTACCTCAGCCTTCTCCTCATCCTTTGTCACTATGGTTCTTTAGAGTGACAAGGCCCTGCAGGATCCTGGAGTTGTATCTCATGTAGTCACATAGGTCCCCTGCTGCAGGCCCAACATGAGACTGTACATCCCATTACTCTAGCAGAGGTGGTTATATCAACCTTTTCTGATACCTATGTACCTCAGCTACCACAAGACCAGCACTGGACTGGTGGTGCCATACCAGCTGTCCCACAAGGGTAGAAGCTGGAAGTGGCCTGGACACAGGGATGGCAGCCCAGAAGGGAAGCTAGAGCTCCAAGTTATATATTAGAAAATTAAATAACAGAAATATAAGATCGAGGTACTTTTCAATAAATTTCATGCTATTTATTTTGTAGTATTTCTGCACTGGCTATTCTATTAATGATAAAATGTGTAAAAATAATTTCAAATAATTTGTTTTCTTTCTACAGTTCACCAAAAGCATAGCTTCAAATGCAGTATTTGTGAAATATCCACAGAATTTACATATGCGTGATGTCTTCTATGCCCTGCTGCTTATAGTCAAGCTGTGTCACTCAACTTCTGAAAAAGTTACAGGTTTTATCAATTTCAAATAGATAGTACACATGCCATAGAAAATACAGACATCAGATCCTGTTCTCCAGAAACTTTCTCAGCCTACATGAATTGTTAATAATATACAGCAGAAATACTGATGTCCTGCAAATATGCACACATTTTCCTCCTGTCAGGTTACAAAGGCATGGCAGAAATGGATGATACATGTCACCTCATCAGACAAACTCAGCTCTCTGGTTCACATGCCTCCACTTGTTACAAAGCTTACTTCTGGTGTTGCTCTTACATACACAAGTGATCACTGCAGAGACCACAGACAAGTTCTGTTATGAGATACAGAATTCCAGACAGAAAGTACCAAAGTGGCAAGAAGATCCCAGTTACATGCACAGCACAGCATGGCAGCAGAGATGGCAATTACTACTCCGTACCTTAGGAATAAAAGCACAGAAAGCTTCCAGGTAGGCTACAAGATTGCACAAGGGCCAGTAGCACAACAGGAGACGATCAAGACGAACACTTTTTGAAATATATTAGTTTTTGGAAAGCCTGCTTAAATTCTTCATTAAAAGCTGTATAAATGACTGGATTGATCAATGAGTTTAAGTAACCTAACCATGTAAAAAAGTCCAGCAGGATGGGATGAAACCAACAAGCATCTTGGCAGATTGGTAGGACTAGGGACATGACAAAAAAAGGCAGCCAGCAGAAAATGAAAGCTCCCAGAATAATGCCTAAAGTTTTGGTGGCTTTCCTTTCTCTAGCAGCAGAAATTCTTTTCCTTTCAAGGACACTATCTGCAAGTTTTATTTTAACATGATTGATAAATATTGGGGATCTACCTGAATGGGAATGCCCTTCATGAAGGCTAGCATTAATGGAGCAGAGAGAGGACCCAGCAGAGCCAGTAATCAGGTGTGCAGTAGTAAAGCGTTTCCCATATAATGAGGGTGGCTTCAGAATCCTGGATCGAGCCGCTACATAAATTCTGCCATACAATATCAGGAGGAGGACAGTTGGGATGTAGAAAGCTCCACAAGTGGAATAAATTGTGTAGGAAATTTGATCTGTGTTCACAGTACACTTTGCAATTTCTTCATGAGCTTTCACTTGCCTCCAGAAAAATGGTGGCACAGAAATACTAATAGATATCATCCAGACCACGGCAATCATGAGCGCTACTCGGCTAGCAGTCCGGCGTTTGGCATATTCCAAAGCATCTGTGATAGCCCAGTATCTGTCCAGTGCAATAACACAGAGGTGTAGGATTGAGGCTGTGCAGCACGTGATGTCTGATGATAACCAGATATCACACAACACCTGGCCAAAAGCCCACGTGTGGGTGACAGTGTAAGCAATACTGATGGGCATTACTAAGACAGAAACTAAGAGATCAGTCACTGCCAAGGAGCCAATAAGGTAATTTGCAGGTGTGTGGAGCTTTCTAGTCAGAAAAATTGTAATAACAACAAAAACATTTGCAAGGATTGTTGCCAAAGTTATAACAGACAGAAGGACGGACAGTGAGATCCTCAGCCCTAATAGTGTCCTTTCATCCAAAGCCAGCGGCGTTTCAGTGAAATTTAATGATATATTTGCTGAGCTCTGGAGAGAGAGCTCTGATGAATGGTTATACTGAGTCATCCTCTGCTCCGATTTCACTTTCCACTTTCCAGTGTAATCTTTCTGGGACACTTACTTTTTTGCCGAAATAGGACTTTTCATACTAGAGTGCAACACTGAAGAAATATTAACTTGTTGAAAATCAGCTTACACAGTACTCTCCTAAGCTAGATTTCCTATCACATCAATGACATTGTTACAGCAAAATGTTAACATAATCATCCAGACATGATTCTGGTGTATAATAATACAAGCAGTACTATACATGGTGGGAATGTAGGTGTTTTTCATTTTCATTTTGCAGATGATTACATCATTCTTTATTATCTTTTATTCACACCTCTTTTCTGAACTAATCTTCTGTGAAGTGCATACATCAATACTGAAGAGTGAAAGTCCAAAAAAGAAACATCTGGGCATGTAATTGATGTCCCTGTGCTTGGGACAAAGCTATCCTCAGGAGTGTTTTCCCTTCCTCTCTAATAGCTGAATGTCACATTTCTGATCTTTATAAGGGACACTTTTTTAATTGAGTACCCAAGATATAAAACAATACTGCCTGGATTCCTTCTGCAAACGTAATTTCTGCCAGATTTGTAATCAAGAGCTCTTTTCGAAAAGTGCAGAGGTCCATTTTTATTTATTCCTCCAGACCATTCAGGTTTTCTCTTCACCATTCAGTCTTCAAATGCTGCAAGTCAGGTGTTGGGTACGAGAATTCAATGCGTTGGTGCTGAAGCTCACAGCATGTTCTAAATACTGAGATGTTCCTGATCGTGCAGATGGCGAATGATTGTAATGACTTGTGGAGTGGTGATTCCCTCAAAAGAGGAACAATAGACTTGTTAAGGGCATCTGGAAAAAGAAAGTGAATGTTTTAGTCCAGAACAGTGATAAAAGAGTTCTGGAAGTTGAGGTATTACAGTATATAATCTACTGGCTTTCCATGCTTTTCTTTAGATTCACTTAGTGTAACCGGAAATCTTCACAAACCTGAAGAAAACATCCTAAAAAATTCCCTTGAGACCTTTCACTCAGATCTACCCACAATACCACAATGTCACATCATGCCAGCCCAAGCTTATGTGAAAGAGATCCTGAATATGGATCACAAATGGCTTTGAAGCATGCTGTGAGGGCTAACAAGAGAGATGCTGCACTCCTCTAAAAAGATCACCCTGCCTGCTCCCAGCCATCAACGAGAAATACCTCTAACAGTCACAACTGGTGCAGTTTCATGGCATCTGACACAGAACTGAGTCACTCAATGAGGAATCTGTGGAGCAAGAGCATCATATATGAAACACTAACACTGTGGTGGGAAACAGCCTCTCTCAAGCTCCTGAATCCTAACATAAGAAACAAGACTTTTCAATTTTGCATGTTTGATTTTTTTATAAACATCCACCTTCTGTGAGTCCTGTATTTTATGGAATACAGAATACGAGTTCCATATTTTTAGAGATGCTTTTCCTTTTGAGGTGTATTTTTCCAATAAGGGGACCTAAAAGAGTCTCATATTTCATACTAAACTATTACTTTCTTGATTTTTTTTCTTATTTAAAGGAAGGCTGACCTCTCTTCCTAATGAACATTTTTGTGACAGCAAATGTAAAATTTATAAGAATTTCTGAACATAAGAATGGCCATAGTGACCAAAGTCCATCAAATCCAGTCACCTGTCACCGACAATGGCCCACACATTCAGCTCAATCCAGTTGTCTTTTTCTGACAACCTTCCCAACTCTGATACATTCTTTTTGAAACAGAGGGAACAGAACCACAAACAGTGTTAAGGATGTGGATACACCATAGATTTACACTGCAGCATAATGCTGTTTTCTGCTCTCTTCTCAATTTTTTTCCTAACAATTCCTGAGACTTACTTTGCTTTCTTAATCATCACATAGCACTGATCTGACATTTCCACAGAACAGTCCCAATTAATATAATTCCAAAGCCATGAATGATAACATCAGCATTTGTTCCTGTTTGCTCACTTTTTGCATCTATCCGTATTGTACTCCTCCTCCCACTTTTTTAACCAAGGTTCTCTGCAATTTTGCACAGTCAGTCCTTGTTTTATTACCCTGAAAAACTTTTTTTCATCAGCAGATGTCATCACCCTGCTATTCATGTGCTTTCCAGATCACTTAGTATGTTGGGTAGTCTGAGCCTTCTTTATTTATCTTCTTTAAGAGCCCCTGGCAAGAGGCCTTGTCAAAAGTCTCTTGAGAGTCCAAGTACTGATCTAATGATCAGTAGGACTTCACCCACTCATCAGCTTTTCTTAATTACTTCAACAGATTTCTAAGGCATTACTTACCTTTACAAAAGCCATTTTGACTGTTCTCCAAAACACAGTATTTACTATGTGTACAGTAATACTATTGTTTATTATAATTTCTGCAAACTGACCAGGTACACACATCAGGCTTAGGAATAACCAGTTGCCTGGATCTCTTTGGACAGTGGTATCTCAGCAGCTATTTCGCAGTTGACAGGTGCAAAGGGAGTTACAAGAAGAGGCCGAAGACCCCTTCTGATACCATTGCAGGTTGGATCTTGAGTGGCATCAAGCTCTTTAGCTGAGCACTGTCTGATAGTGAAGATTCGCTGTTGTTCATTTCATTCAGAAATAAAAGTTCCACTTGTAAACATTCTCCAAATTCTCTTTAGTGAACAGGGATGCCAAAGCTAATCTAGTTTCTCTATGCTAAATTTCCTTTATCTTCTCTAGTTTTTTTTTTCCCCCATACCTTTACCATGCCTTTAACTCTGACTCAGTAATAGCTCACTTCAGTGCCAGAGCCTAAGAAGTCGCTTTACCTCAACACTGGGCTGATCACACATCCCACACAGGTGAAAATCTAAACCAAAACCACCAGGCTGATTAGCAATATTAAAGACAATGACCAAGTCCAATTTTTATTTCAGTTGCTGAGAAAAGCAACACCGAGCCTTTACCTTATATTGCAAGTATCACCCATTGTTCAGTGTTAGAACAACTCCAGCACTGCGAAATAAAATGAAGTGCATGTCGCCCACTCACCTGTACATGAACAAGCCTATTAGTAGTCCTATTGCTTCCAACAGGTGTCAATCACTGTGGAAAAAAAATTTGATGTGAAACATGGTGTTTTCAGGCAAATGAGTTCAAATGAATTATTGAAGTTCAACATACCAGCAAACAGGACAGCCTGACACTAGGAGAGTTTTGCTGAAACTAAACAATGCCTCAAGAGATACTGAGTTACCGAATTAATTTTTATAAGTAAATGATGCTTTCCTGTGATGTGATCACCAAAGGAAAAGAAGCCATTTTTTACAAAAATGCTCCAAGTCATGTATTTACCATGTGCTCAGGAAGAGTGCATTGGCTGTTTGCTGCCCCACAAATAAGGCTATCATGACTGAAGGTCATTTTCAAAAGTAACTCCAGGCCAGGTTTCTAAATTCTGCGACAGACACATCTTTTAGGATTTCTACTGTGGTCCTCAGAACCTTAAGTAGCATATATTCTTAAGTTTAATAAAATCCTACACTTGTGTATACAGACAAAGTCTTTTGATTGTGAGTCTTTCACCAAGAAATGCATATAGCTCATTGAACAGCTCTTATCCATCCTGATTGGCAAGGCAGCATCTATCAGAGATGAATTAATAATCGTGCAAGGCAGCTAGTCATTAGCTGACATTAAAATCTATTCCCCATGTGCTAAATTATCATCAGGAGTTATAGACTTATGCAGAATAATTAGTCAAAACAATCCTTCCCTTACAGGCAATAAGGTGGCACTACGCAGTATAACATATGGAACTGCAAAATATTTACGCAAAATTAAAGAACTCCAAGCACAATGTAGTTTCTAAGCAGAACTGTGATGTACTTCAGCTGGTTGGAAACTCTTGAGCTCCTGTTAGGCAGGGCTCTGCCTGGGGATATGCACAAGGCCAAACAGCACGGTCATAAAAGTTTCTTAAAATATATAGCTGCTTTATTGCAATGACTTATGCATCTTATGCTTAATGATATAACCTCATATACTCTAAATACCCATTAAATACAATAGGCTACTGAGAACACAAAGTTACATGCTTATGTATGTGTTTAGGAATCGGGGACTCTGAATCTCCTTTTAAAAATTTCCTTTAATGTACTTCCCTGTAATGCCTCTTTTAGAGACTGTTGTTCAATTTGTGCGAGTTGGTGATCAAAACCATTGATACAACAAAAAAAAGTTAGTAATGGGACTCCAGTTAGATTTAGTATATCAGGATGTAATGAATTTTAGTTACCTTCTAGATAAAATGAATTTCTTCCCAATAATCTAATATTTAAATTAAGTTATCTTTTATTCAAGAAAAAATCCAGGTAAATGATTTTCCTGTTAAAAAAAAAAAGAAAAAATATTCATCTGTTCAAACCACAGACACTGAAGAAAAATAAGATTACATTTCAAGCAGTCATTAAGTCAAGTACAAGGCCATACATGTAGTTGCATATTAAGGAAAACAGAACACAAATGCATTCACAAGACATAAGCATCCTCAAACATTGGGACCCCAGAAGGAGGACGAGGCCATCCGACACGTCCAGCTGAGAGCAACCTCCCAGTGGGACGTTTGCCTGGGCAGGGTTTACACGATCTCTGGAGCGTGAGGAGAACTGAGTAGACCCTGATGATGTTATCACCTCTAGATGGTATTATTGTCTTTAGCATGTGCAATTTACAGTCTGGGTAATTGCAGGCCGTTAGCTGTGGTGCCTGAAGTTATGTTTACATTGCTGTGGGCATCAGCACGCATCATCCATCTGGCCACCCACCATGAAGGCCGTGGTAGGTTTTTCACCACCACTTCTCAAGATGGAAATCCTCTCAGGTGAGTTGGCTGCATCAACACAGTCCTTGGCCCATGTCTGCTCAGGCTTCACATGCTGCCCTTGGCCATGGGCTGTGGGTATTTTTTCAGTTCAAAGTGTCTGAAATAAATTGAAGGTGATGTCACAGCTTGCCAACCTGAGGTCTGCACAGCACGCTTGACCAACAATGCATAGCTTGGGGCAAATGGCCGAGTTGGATGCTGGCAGACAAGGATTCCTACAAGGGTAGTCGGGAACAGCAGAGAGCAAAGAAGGCCGAAGCTGTCCCTGTGGTCCCGAGAGCAGTGTGAGGGTTTGGCAGTTGAGGGAGGATGGGGCAAACTTAGAGCCATGCAGTGAGGATCATGGAATCACAGAATCACAGAATTGTTGGAGTTGGAAGGGACCTCTAGAGATCATCTGGTCCAACTCCCCCGCCAAAGCAGGAACACCTAGAGCACATCACTCAGGAGCATCCAGGCAGGTCTTGAAGATCTCCAAAGAAGGGGACTCCACACCCTCCCTGGGCAGCCTCTTCCAGGGCTCCGTCACCCTCACTGGAAAGAAGCTTTTCCCCATATTTGAATAGAACATCCCCTGTTCCAGCTTGAGGGACAGCGTTAACAGTGAAGACCGAAGCAAAGAAGGCATTCAGTAACTCCACCTTCTCTGTAGACTGTTCCTATGTGGAATTTATGTGGCTCCTGGAGGTGAGGAGATGTATCATAATGTCCTGATATTCTGGAGAGATTCTTTTTCATTCATCAAGAAGAAGGAAACACAACTTCATCACAGGAAAGAGTATTTAAATGGAGAGGCAATTTTAGACATTACAGTACTATTTAACTTACCCAACAAAGAGAAAGCTCAGTTCAGGGTCTGGAAGGTGAAGCAAGGCACATATTCAATGTTAAAAGAAAAGACAACTGCATCCTGGCTGCACCAAAAGAAGCATGGCCAGGAGATTGAGGGAGGTGAATCTACCCTCTATGCCACTCTGGTGACATCCCACCTGGAGTATTGCATCCAGCTTGGGAGTCCTCAACACGGACCTGTTGGAACAAGTCCAGAGGAGGCCACGGAGATGCTCTGAGGGCTGGAGCCCCTCTGTTGTGAGGACAGGCTGAGAGACTTGGGGGGGTTCAGGCTTGAGGAAAGAGGGCTCTGAGGAGACCTTAGAGCCCCTTCCAGTCCCTAAAGGGGCTCCAGGAAAGCTGGGAGGGACTCTTGATCAGGGAAGGGAGACATAGGACGAGGGTGAAGGGTTTTAAACTGAAAGAGGGGAAACTGAGATGAGATATCAGGAAGAAATTCTTTGCTGTGAGGGTGGTGAGACCCTTGGCCAATGTTGCCCAGAGAAGCTGTGCCTACCTCATCCCTGGAAGGCTTCAAGGGCAGGTTGGAGACAGGGCTTGGAGCAACCTGGGCTGGTGGGAGGTGTCCCTGCCCAGGGCAGGGGCATTGGAATTCAATGATCTTTAAGGTCCCTTCCAACCCAAACCATTCTATGATTCTATGTTGGTAATACCCACTGGGACCACTTCACAGTTCAAGGTCCTTACTCAAAACCATGTACTTCTTTCGTAAAGATGCTTTGCATTCCAGCTCTGTCATTAAATCAACACAGCAAGGGCAAGGCAGCAGGGGAGGGTTTCTAGCCTGGTTAAGCTGGAGGAGAAACCAAGTGCCAAGCGGTGACAAGGCAGGTGACAACTTGCAAGCAGGAGGCTGCATGGCACTGACAGCTTCTTAGGGTGGAGTGCCATCATGTGGGCTCTGCTCAGAGAGAGACCGCCAAGGAGCACCAAAGATGCTCACTCCATCCAGAATGTAAACGAAGTCATGACCCATTTCTGTCCTTTCTGGAGTACAGCTACCATTTCTGGAGAAGAGGGTGATTCCTGCAGATAGTAGCTGCATGGTGCAGCCAACAACGCCTTCTGACAATGCTGGGCTGCAAAGAGAATGCTTTGGTGCAGCCCAATCTGTGTTGCAGGGAGGTAAATAGTGTATACAAAAATGAGTCTGTTGAAATGAATTTGCTCTTTCACTGAATAGAACAGGAAAAAAAGGACAACAAGATGAAATGTCTTTTAACAAGCTGAACATTTTCTTTAAGTTCACACTGATGTTAGAGGAATTAGGAAATTAATTCTATCCCCTTGTAGCTGGGTAACAACTCGGGGAATTGTAAAGGCATGGCTGAGAACAGAGCTAAATTTCAGCAAACTACTGAAAATCCGTTTGCTCTCCCATCTTTTTGTAGCCAATTCTAAATTTTCATTTTAATTTAGAAACCTTTATCTTGCCTAAATAGAAAAGATATATTCCAACATGCCGAAACCTTGACCAGTAATAAAACTACTCCCTCTGTGAGCTGATGAACGCCAGATGGCACTCCTAACAGGAATCACACCTTTGAAAGATACACTTCATGGGCAAAATCAAAGCAGGGAGAAATTTTTGAGTAAGTTCTTGCATATTTGGGACAATTGACTGAATTATGCAGCGTAAGAGTATCTGTGCAGTCCAACTTGGAGACAAGAACCTTGTTCAAACATCATTAATCCATTTAGAATAATCAATAGCAATCTGCCACTCCATAGATCATAATCGAATCAGGATGCAGCTTCTGGGAGAAAAACAAGGCAACACCATAGTGTATTGCACCAAAAAATGAGATCCCCAGAAGGCAGAGTCTGTGTAAAAGTAAGAAATTGGTAAAATCTGTAAAATGTAATGTGAGTAGGTTTGCATGCATCAATATAAAGGACTGGATATGCAGCAAAAGTAACCATAGTCCTAATCGCTTTCATAGCTTTGGATTCAGCTGCCTAAAATACATAACATTTTGCAAAAGCTATCAATAACATAGAATAAACCTGACAGGAAATAAAATATATAGGTACCTTGCACAATGAAGTAGGATTAGGATGCACTAAGTACTGAAAAAACTGCCACATTGCCATCACAAAGAAAGATGAAAAGTTATTGGGGGGGATCAGTTTAAGAGCTTGGTACTGGCTGTGCATCCTGCATAAGCTAATGTGCCATTTGAACTTACAGTTAGCACCTTGAAAAGAAAGCAGAGCAATCTAGAATAGAAGTAAGCGTTCTCTCACGGTGAGGAGATGATTTCCACTCCATGATTTCCACAAGCTGAACTCAGAGCCAAACAAGGGGAATGTACAAAAGTGTCCCTTTTGCCGCAAGACAAGCTACTGAGTCCCTGGGAGAGAGGGATGAGCACGACTGCAATCGCTCATTTGTCTTCTGCCCAAGCAAGGACCATGACCTGCAAGGCTGTCGCAGTTCTGGGAGAAGCCGAGAGCACCTGCAGGACGCAGCAGCCCTCGACACCACGCAGCGCTTGGGGCAAGGTCTGTCTTTGATCCTCTGTTCTCACCCACCATGTGCACGGCAGAGGTTTGCCACACGGCTGGCCCCAGCTCCAGCCAGGGAGGACTGGGCAAGGCTCAGCTTTGCAGAGTGCTGGACCACTTCTGCTGGCAGGAGGGACAGCTACTGCCCACGCTCTCAGCCTCCTCTCCGTCTTCCCCAGGCTCTGAGCAAGGCTGGCAGTACCCCTGGGCAGCTTCTCCTTTGGCCACGGCTCATGGATGCCTCTGGCAGCCCCGTGCCAAGGGTAAGCCCCTGCTCGGGTGCCAGGCTGGGCACACAGCAGCCCCACGCACGCCGCCCTGCATTCCGGAGCAGTCACTCACTGATTCCACTCCGACATTTTACACGGGATCCCGATTCCTGACTTTTGCAGGTACCTGTGTTAGTAGAATAAATCATTAAAAATTCTTCAGCTTCTGAGCTGAATCACTAGGAGCATGACTTTGCACATTGAGTTCTCATGCGGTTAGGGAGTAGCAAGGCCACTGTGTTACTGGCTAGACTGGTTATTCTCATTATTCGAGATGCTTTTGAGATCTCAAGCGTAGTTTGCATCAACACCAAACAACTTTTTAATACTGGAATATATTTCAAGAAACAGAGCTCTAATACTCCAGTTGTAGCTAATTTGCACTCTCCTGACCTTTCTTTGCTCTGAGATGTCTTCATCGTTTCTGAATTCAGTGTGCACTTAATCAGTTATCCAACCAATATGTGGAAATTACAAACCTCAAATAACACAAGTATAGATTAACTGTTGATCGATAGCACTCTATTGGGTTGGTCATAATACAATGAACTGTCCATTTTCTAAGCTTTTTATTAGAAAAAGTATTTTCTTTGCTTTATTACATTAGGTCTATACTGATGCATCAGTTCTGTTTGCTATGAATATAACATTTTCCACTGGTTATAGTATCAATAATATGATCACTGTTTTCAAAATTCCTCTCCTTGCCCCCTACTTCAGTGATGCATCACAAAATAAAGTTCAGATGGGATTCATCACAGTCCACGTAGACATCTAAAACACAGTCAGAGCCAGTCACCCTGACAAGCAGCTGAGCAAATCTCTTCATTGACTGCAAGGGGAGCTGGTACAAAATAATTCATGTTTCTAGTACACATGACACTGCATATGTTCACTCCAGCATGGATCATGCAGCACAGGTAAATCTCTAGTGCTAGGATTATTGTGACTATTTCAAAGTAAGGCCTATTTTGTTTCTTTGGTACAGAGAACAGTAATCTATAAGATAAATTGTATAAAAAACATTCCCCATTTTAAATAAGCAACTGTGATAATTAGCAAGGAAATCCTGGCAATGTTTAACACCTTCTCTCCCTTCTCCCCACCTTACATTTTTGCTCAGGTATCAAGAAAATATTGGTATTTACTCTAGAGTATGTTACTGATAATTTCTTTGGAGGGAGCAGGGGCTAGAGCACTGAGATCAGGCATTACTTGGGCTCTCTCGGCCCTAAAGATGAGAAACAAAATATGATGCAAAATCTCCAATAAACTTTTTCTTTCTCACATTTACTCTCCCATTATTATTCGATGTCATATAACTGTAAGGGCCAATGAAATACAGTGGGGTGAGAGATTGTAATGCCGACTACATCCACATGCCTGCAAGGCAGGGTCTGGGACAAGCGGAGTGACACTGGCTGATCTGGATGCTCTAACTGATGCAGAAGGCCTGACCCGGCACATCTGACATCTGAAGAGTGGCTAACCATCTCAGGCTCCCTCTGTGGACATTACTTTTCCCTCCTGTCCTAGAAGCCTGTTTAGGTGGTGCCCATTCCTTTCCGGTATCTGCAAAGGAAGCCTGGAGTGACTTTGGCACTTAAATGCCCAACTTGAAGCTCTGAGCCTTGCCTGGAGCCTGGAAGCAGCAGTGGAAGCAGGAGAGTCAGGACAGGGCCGGGAGATCAGCCAGGGTCCCCCGAGTACCTGCCCCAGAGTGCTGGAGCTCCTTTAGAAAAGGATGGGCAATCACTGTTACAGAGTGCTTCTGGGCTGCTTTCAGATTTGGGGACTTTTCCAAGTGTTTAATGACGTTCTAATTCCTCTATTTTAAAGTCAACAAAATGGCAGCATCCATTCAATGGGAATTAGACTCATACTGAGCGCGCTGGAAAACCCCAGTGCTTTCAAAGAAATCCTCGGTGCTCAAAAGTCTGCACTTTTAAAATCAGGTGAAATTAGAATGATAAGTGCTTGAAAGAGATGCAAAAAAGGAAAAGTTCTTGCATCTTGAATACAAACTATTCTTGCTCAGTTCAGCGCCACACTGCTCATCACCTCTTGATGCTTTATTTAAGTTGGTTTCAGTGTGCTCAGCCATTCCCATGAGACTTCATCACTGAGCACAGTGGTGCACTACGATTTCTCACGGCCATCCATGTGCACCACGTTTCACTTTTACGCTTACATTTTTTTCCAGTAAGTATCCTACAGCTTTGCCTGTAAAGGGATTTGGAAAGCATTGGTTGATGTGCTAATACTTGCACTTTAATAAACAGTCAAGCCTTAAAAATACAAGTGATGAGGGTAGAATTGATCTGCCCAACTACAGGCATTTAGTCAGAGCATCCCCCGTTACTGCCAACACAGAGAATGAGGTTGCTTAAGAAGGCAGCATAGCGACCTCTCATGCATCGCTTCCCCACTTAGTAAATAAATTCAAAATGCATATTTGCAGAAACATGGTCTTACACTTCTTGGAAGGAGCATTTGTCCATCCTGCTCCCCCTTACCCTCTGCCCTGAAGGCAATTCAGGAAGAAACTGGGGAACAACTTTTGCTTGAATGACCTCACTTTGAGCTAGTGGCCAGATGTGTCAGAAGGCACATGGGGGTTTAACCTACACACTTGCTGCACGAAACACACAGCAATTCTACCATGACAGGAACAAGGAGGGCCAGTAGCTGGTGCTTTCAGTTACTGT